TTAGTGAGAAGGAATGAAAAACAAAACAAAATGAAAAACCTCAAGGGCTCATCCTTTTAGAAAGTGAAAAATTTTAAGTGGTGTAATGCAACTTTACAGCCTGCCCTCTGTCTGTCAAAGGGAAATACGCCAAAGTGGGGAATTTTTCACGGACTCCAGATATCCCATCATTTTCTCAGAGGAATGTATGCCCTGCTGGACGTACTGGAAGCACAAAATGACACGTGGCAGCAGAGAGGGTCTGGGGTGTAAGGTTAGAGATGACAGCATTGCCAAATGGTGAAAAGATGAGGTTAGAATTTACCAAGGGTCAGCAAGCCCTCTGAGATCCATACTGCCTAGATCACATTGGATCAATCTATATTGGACCAATCCACCAGGGTTTTATGATCAGTGAGGGAACCAAGGCAGCTCACCCAAAGGACTGCGGCTCTGGTCAGGAACCTAGTCAAAGCTCCTCCCACTCAGCCTTTGCGTACAAGGAACGGCGCCTGCACCAAGACGTGGGCCCTGGGTGAGGATGCTGGCTTTGGACAAAAACACAGGATTGGACAATTGACAATATTCCGAGCAAGACACAGACGTGCACAGTGTTTTCAGGTAACACCAGACATTTTGATTTCCTTCTTGGTGCTGGTTTAAATTAAAGCTTTAGTCTTGAGAGAGTCCTTTTTGGGGATCATGGAGACAGTCTTGGATACACACGGTGATGGATGACAAAGAGAATGATGAGAAGAACGTGATGGATGTGGAAGAGAGCTCGGGACGAGAGCTGGGTCTCACTCTGCCCTGGCCTTGCACTCCTGCTCAGCTAAGGGAAGCCCTGCCATGCTCACTGCAGAGGCAGCGCTGGCTCCCATACGGATAAGGGGGGAGCCTCCCGTGTGGCCCTCTAGGACCTTCCCTCCACCATCCACACTGCAGAGGGCAGCTCTCACTGTGCTTTATCCTAGCTGGCGGGTCTGGTGCCTCCACCCCAGGGCCTGATAATTTGGCTCCCAGACTGCACAGCTCAGAGAGTTGCGCAGTTCAGGAACCCCTGGTCAGAGGAGCAGCTCCCCGGAAAGACATAATAAAGTACGTAAAATAATGGCCTTAGTCTAAGTTCCTATGTGTCACCAGTGACAATGGATAATTAAACTAAATGAAGAATAAACACCATGTATTTTGCTACATAATCAAATGGTGAAAGTAAGGCAAAGTGTGCAAACCCAAGCCCTGGGCAACGCCCTGGGCCCTGCCGGGCAGTGGCGCCCACAGGCCCTTCCTAACACTGCGTTCAGACCCGGCTCCTACTGTAAGACTTCTCAGGCGTCTGACCCACCTCTCACATCTTGAACCTCCTGTTGACAAGAACAGAGGGAGACACCATTAAGGCGGGTCCCACCACGGAGGGGACAGACGTGGAGCCCCCGCTGTGGGGCCCGCCCCTTAGCTCCAGATCACCACCTAGGAGAGCAGGGGGGGAGTGAGAGACACAGCCAGGGCTCAAGCAGAAGGACAAATGGAAAGCAGGAAGCAGAGAGGACAGACAGACGCAGCGAGCACTGGTGTGGCAGACACACAACAGTATGGAGGCACTGCACAGGGTCACCGGGCAGGGCACAGTGCCTCACTAGCACCTGTGTCCAGGGTGATGCTTGGGGCTCATGCCACTTTGAGTCCCCGGCCTCAACCTCCCTGACAAGAGGCACTTCCCACAGCTTCGGTTACCCTCATCCCAGCCGTTGGGACCTCTAGGCCAGGTGCCATTCTACTCCCACTGGCCCCGGTGGGGTGGCCAAAGGTGGTACCTGGGTGGGTGCACGGGTGGCCAGCGCCTCCCGGAGGAACACGTGCTGGGCATCGTGCAGGGACCACTGCACGCCTCTCACCTGATGTCGACTCGAGTGAGCACTTGCCAGTTTCAACCCATCACGGGGTCCTGGTCAGGCTCTTCGTGCTTCCAGGGCGACCCTGTCTTCAGAGAGCTAGGGCTCTGCTCACTCCTAAGAGCTTCATAAGCTGCTGCTTGTAAGAGACAAGGAGGTCCCGGGACTCATGAGGTCACATAGCTCAGGAGGGAGCTTGCTTGTGTTCGATAGTGTGGGGCTCACTCTTAGTCCCTGCAGCCTCAGCTCCCCAGGAGTGGGATGGGTGGGAGGTGGTGCCCCAGCAACTAGCAGTCTGGCACCTCAGGGCAGTGTTAGCTCTGCCCCGTCTCTCTACACTGCTGTGGGATGGACCCATCAGCCCTCCAGCCAGCCTTTCCTCCCTCGGCACACGCCCCTGTTGCTGTGTGACCTGAGGAAGGCAGGGGAACAGGGGACCCAGGTCTGATTATGTTGGGGTGCCTTTGTGAGAGTCCTACAGAGCAGAACCAACAGTCATCACCCAGGTCCCTTGAGAGGAGGGGCAGGCAGGGACACCAGGGTAGCCCTGGGTACCCAGAGCTCAGGCCTGCACTCTGTCCCTGGTGCTGATGACAGGGACTGGGCTGGGAGAGTTGTCCAGAGAAAAGGGACAGCAGTGGGTTCCAATACAGGGAGTTCCTTAACACACAAGGGCACACAGGACTTGGTGACCCAGGTGAGCCTGACTCACAGGGCCCTTGGGGCTTTCTGCTCCTGAAACCCATTTGCTCCTTTCTCTAACTACCACACCTTTCCTTATCCATTTACTGAAACTATGACCAGGGGTCTGGAGTGCAGGTCTATGGAAGGTGGGAGGGGGGCTGACAAACCCCGGGCATCCTTTTTCAAAGCGTGACTGAAATCAGGGCTTTGCTCCCCCAAGAGGTCCCCATCCTCCTGGTCTGAATTAGAGAGACGCCGCAAAAATCTCACACATTGATCTGCAGGGGAGGACGACAGGGTGGAGAAAAGTTTCTCGAACTTAAACCATGTTCAGTTTAGGCAGATAAGTTACTTTCCATGGGTGAGGACTGAAGCAGCTGCAGCCTGATCACACACCATGCTAAAAGGGGAAGGGGACAGGCTGAGACACCCCAGGACTTTGGGCTCTTTGCACAGTTCTGAAACACATCTGTTCTCCATCTGGGGACCCCATTAAAGACTCTACAGTGAATTGCTGGAAGAGGAGGCTCCCTGAGAAGCGTTTCCACATCTGCTCTCTGGGAAGGCAGCATTCCCTTCTGCTCACCCCTTGCAGTCTGCAGAAACCCACCTCGCTTGGAGGTAAAGCCGCTTGGAGGTAAAGAGCTGAGAATGTCACCTCCCAGGCGGCGGAGTGGTGGGCTTAGGGAAAGCAAGGGATGGGCCCCAAGGGCAAGTCAGTTATCCCTTACCCTGAGAAGGCTGCAGAGGGTAGCTGCCACCAGGTCCCTTCCTGGGGAGGTCACCTCTGCTGTGTTAGCAGGATGCTAGGTACTCTGGACAGGTGGCATAGCCTGGTCTCCAGGGCAACGCAGACTGCACAAGTGTGCAGATCTGTGTGAGCTGATGATTGAGCAAGGGCCTTCTAAGAGAGGGAGGGCTGGCAGGCTGGGAGTTCACCAGCCAGGGCAATGCTGGAGCCCCGAGGCTGTTCTAGACAGAGTCCTGAGCACGCAGGCTCTGGGTGTCCTCCCCAGGCTCTGCACGACTACTTTCTTTCTTCATAACTTAGCAGACCGAGAAGGGACTTGTAAAAAGCACACAAATACAGGAGGTGGTGTGGCCATTGGGTCAGCAAAGCGCTGCTCCCCACCCCAGGTAGTCTGAGCACCTGCCCAGTCTGTAGGGGGGTCAGCCCTGGAGGAGGGTTGAGCAAATTACAAAGCGTGGAGGGCACAGCGCACTGCAGTCCATCTCGAGGTGGCAGATAACTAGTTTTTCCTTTTCTGGGCAGCCTTTCTCTTCTTCTGTCGCTTCTTTTTTCCTATCTTTTCTCTTTTCCCCACTTTTTCTTCTCTGCGCCCCCTTAGATAAAATTAGTAGAACCATTAATATTGTTGAAATAAACAAGAGTTCGTCTCAGTCTGCACAAGATGTAATGCTGGCCCTTTGGCTCAGTTTAACTCTCCCTCTAGTCAGGGGCCTGGGGGACCCTGGTCAAGGCAGTTTGTCTGTGTCAATAACATCCTGCCCCCACCCCTCCTTCCCAATTGAAAGGGAGTTCAACAAGCTGCTATGAAGCCTGTGAACTGCTTACAGTGATGGCCAATTTGCCTGGCCCTGGGGCCTACTGGTTGCCATCAGGATGAGGAATCTGCATCTTGGAGGCAGTGGAACACCCAGGGCCAGGCTGCCTAGGTTTTCTGTCCTCCCCACACTGCCCTGCTCTCATCGGGCTTCCTTCCTTCTCAACACAGAGCTGACCTCTCTGCCTTCTTGAAGGAATCTCTGCATTTTCAATTGAATGGTGCTTGGGTGGTTGGAGGCCCCAGGTTCCGATGGCCATCCAGGAGAGGAGAAGGAAGTCACCTCATCCCACCTTCTCCTTCTGGATGCCTGGGAACACCCCCGGGAATGACTGGGATTGTTCTGGAGAGCGAGGGAGAGAGCTGGTTAGCAGAATTTTATTAGAGCAACTGGCTCGTGACTGTCACAATTAAAATGATTCAAGCTGAATGGTATTTAATGATTTATGGGGTGAGGCCACCTGTTCCTGGGTAAGCTTGTTATTAACCACGGCCTGGAGTCATGGGATTTTTATGTGGGAAAATGGGAAAGCTTGATATTACCAGGGCTGAGTCTCTGGGGATTACATGGGATGTTAGGAGAACTGAGGAGGAGGAGGGAGGGGAAGAGGAATTAGTGAGTCAAATATTATTCTTCAGAAAACTAGTGCTACTACTTCCGTTGGGGTACCAAAAAAGATGCAAAAACTTGAGCTGCAGACGTAATCTGCTCTTGAGAAAAGCCCGTACACTGTCACACATGGGCTCTGCAGAAGGGACCTGGGGCACCTGACCAGCAGGCAGGCTTATTTTTATAAACTTCAGAACTGTGTATGAGATCCATCTCTAATAACTAGTGCATTTTATTTCAGGTAAATAAATTCCCACGTACAGTAGGAGGTTTATACCATGGAACAATTAGCTTTTTATTGCTAGTGCAGATAATGTCACATTTGATACAATTTGAGTACAAGTGAAAAAAATACACTGTGGCTAACATCGAAAAGCTGCAATCACATTTATATATCATATATATTTCTTTACAAATTGCCAGCAGTTTAAGATAATAGAGAAATGCAAACTACTGACATTTATATGGCTCCACTTCAAATATATGAATTGTTTGACTATAAATATATTCTGAAATACATTCGTCTTCTAAAGAGAAACGTAAAAAAAAAATGTGCACAAAAATATATATATATGTATATATATATATAAAATGCCTTGCAAAAAGTTACAAATACCACCAGGACCATCTGTGGATCACATTTATGCATGGAAACTTCATCTTGCCCCAATTCTGATTGGAACCTGAAACCCTGCTGTGGCTTCAGGAAGGGCGAGTGGCAAGATGCTGGCTTATTCATTTATTGTTCACTTCTGATTTCAGAAACCTCAGAGTCTGCAGAGCCTCCATGGCATACATCAGCTTCAGAGGCAGTCACAGAAACCAAATTTCTCAAAGCAAGTCCGCAGATTTAAAATTGCATTTGATTCTGCAAAGACTTGTCTTTTGTGGGAAAGCTGGGGCATGATCTCACGTCCCCAGAAGAAGGCCAGTTCCATTGTGGAGGAGGCCCAAGACAGATCTCACAGAGGGCCCGAGTTAGGGCAGGAGAAGGGAGGAGAGGGATGTGGGGCTGGAGCCCCAGTGATCACCCTCCCCCCACTGGTGCAGCATTAATCAGGCTACAGAAATGAGAAGCAGAAGCCGGATGAAGCATGCTCTTAGAAGCAGGGAGAGGGTGGGCATGGCTGGGAGAGGGACTCTGAGCACAGTCTCCAGGGACAGCAGCTTCTTCATGGAGCCCACTGAGCCAATCACTGAACTCGAATGAGGAGATGAAGGCAGGGGCCGGTGGCTACAGCCGAGCACTGGTCAGTATGTGAGAGCTGCACAAGCTCTCTCTGTCACCCTCAGAGGGGTGTCCTCCGGCAGGAGCCTCAGCCTCTGGAGGAAGGACAGTTTTCCCAGTCCCCTGCTAAGCCCCTGCCTGACTGTGCCCAGACTCCCCATGGAAATAAGAGGAGAAGCTCCCAAACAAACCAAATACAGATCTCGAAGTAATCATTGATTTTAAAAAAATGATAATGAGGAGGATGATGATTGTGATGATCAGGAAGGAACTGACGGGTGAGAAATGCTATTGGGATTATACAATTTCTTAGAAAAACCCCAGTTATAAAAGCTCCAATGTGCAAGGGTGTGGGACGTGGGTGAACACAGCTGCAGTACCGTACTACACACTATAAACGCAGTGTCTATATGCTGGCAGACCTCAGGCCCGATCCCAGATCAATGCACCCCCCACACGCCCCGGACCTCCTGTTTCAGCCCCCACCCCCCTTTGCCCTTTCATCTCTCACACGGCTTAGCTTTCCTCAAGCGCATCTAGCGCAAAGTCCTTTTTGGTGGTTGTGCTTACTTGTTTAAAGCTTTCTCCAGGTATTCCTGAATCCACTTTAATTTGGGGTCGATGCACACTTGTCTGTTGTTGTTCTTCAGCCTCGCCCTGCCAAAACAGAAGAGGCGAGAGTGCACAGTGGAATGGGAGGAAGGCACTGCTGCAACGGGGAGCATGCTCACTCAACACCCACTCAGGACCCCCGCTGGTGCTGGGTGCTCCATGTGGCAGGCTCAGGCTCAGGAGCCACTCAAGGTGTGCTGGGGAAGGCACCACGCCGGCAGTGTGGCACACTCCATTGCAGACATATGGAAATGTATTCACAGGGGAGTCCGGGGAGAATTCACATCAGGGAGCATTTGAGCCACCTTTTAAGGGTAAGCAGAATGGAAAGTGAAGAAAGGGGAAGAGAAAAACGGGAAGAAACACACCAAAGGGGTCAGAGTGCACAGAAGACCTGGAGGAAGAGGAGCGAACAGGATGCTTGAGAACCCTGTGGCCAGGTGGAAGGGGAGAAGGGAGAGTAAAAGAGCAGGTTTTCATTGTGATGGATGAACTTGAGAGTACATGAAATAGATTTAAGGACAGACGTAAGAACAGACTTAAGGACAGAGAGAGGGGGATAGAAGACCTACCAAGAGGTCCTACAATAGTCAAGATGGGGAGGGGACAGCCCAGGGAAGGGAAGGGTAGTGTCAGTGGTTTGCCAGAAAATGATTTCCAGAGAGATTTCACAAGTTCACTGAATGATTCTTGGTCTCATGATTTTTGAAAAGGTCAGACTGGAAAATTCCCCCTACATGCAATTCAAGGGAAAGACCTGGAATTTTCTCTCTGGATCCCTTTCCATAAAGACCTGGGTGCCAGGTAATCTCTAGCAGCCCAGAGAAAACCCCTGGCTAGCCCCTTGAGGGTCTATGAGAACAATTAAAGCCCAGCACAGTGGTTCAGGAGGACCCAGAGGAGTCTTCAAGCAACCTGCTCATAAGTGAAGGTGTGCAGAGGGTGGGTGTGACTCAAAGCAAGGCACTGGGGTGCAAATCTGGGCACTGCCATTTATTAGTGTTTGCCCAGACCTGAGAATTGTATCTGGCATCTTCACCTTCAAGGTGCACTCCCAGGCAAGTGAACCAGCATAATCAGTACCATAGAGGAGGTCCTTGCTGGCTAAATTCAGTACTATTACAACACTCCCTATAGGAGATAATGGTATTTTATTGTAGGCAAACCAGTGAAAAGACATTCATCTTCCAGGCCCTACTACATACGGCAGATGACAGATACATTTGAGGCAGCAAAGGCTAGAAAAGACGAAGGACAAAGCAAATACCTGTAACAGCTGGTGCTGGGTATTAAAGACTTTAGGAAATGGTAGCTTTCATACCAACCGCTGTGTGCCCACTCCATTTTTAGCACTAAGAGAGAGTCTAAGCCCCCACCTCCACGCACCTATGCATATTACCTCTTGGGCACAAGAAGTTCACAGCAATGGACTTACAAGCACGTGGCTTTCTTCCTACACCTCTCCTGACCTCCTGCATCTCCTGTGAGATCTCTGCACATTGTAGATGTGTGATTTGGGTTTTTGTTGTTTCCCACATGAATGAGATGTTAGCAACTGTCATGGACACTAAGAAAAATAAAAACTCATGTGTTGTTTTTGAGAAATGCAAGGAAGTGATCTAAAAATGTTCAAGTTTCTTTAAATGGTAAAAGATGACTTACACTGAATTTGGGTCTTGTGAGTTTATGCTACATGAGAAACGATTGATTTAGGGCACCTGGAACTGGCAGGGAAGATACTAGTAAAGGGCTGGCTGTTTTACTGGCCTTCGGCTGAAGCTGGGGTGAAGCCTATGGCTTCTCCAGTCCGGAGGCACCCAGCTAAGCTGGGATCCAGAGAGAAAATTCAAGGTCTTTCCCACAAATTGCATGTAGGGGGGATTTTCTAGTCTGACCTTTTCAAAAATCATGAGACCAAGAAAGGAAAGGAGAGAGAAGAACCACCATGAGCTGAACAGCATGCCCAGGGCAACGGTGGCTGCCATGGATCATGCCAAGCTCAAGAGTGGGTACTTGGCAAACGTCATTTCAATACTACTAATAAGACTACACATTAGATGTTTCTATGTCCATCAGATACAACTTCCCTGGAGGATGATATTCAAGACTTACACAATCTGAAGGGCACAGTTTGGAGTATTGAGGATTTTGAGATGCTTGACGTTGGCTCTGGCAACATGGCTTTCAAAGAATCGGCATGGACATCTGTAGCTCAGGCTGACGGGTTTCCCTAGGAGAGGTAGGGAGAACAAAGCAATTTGTCACCCTGCTTGGCTTTGGGAAACGTGTGTGTCTGGGTCTGTGGCCAATGAATAGGACAGTGCAGGGACCGTAGGTTAAAGATCTGCGATGGCATCGGAGGGTGAGTTACAGGCTCATTCTGTCAAAAGCCATCTCCTCCTCCTGCAGCAGCACAGTGTGTTCTGGCTGGGCTCAGGCTCAGCTTCTACAAGGCAAAAGGACAAAGGCGCTTAGGGACAGACAGACCCTAGGAAGGAGGGGGGATTAAATTAGAAGGCACCTACCTGCACAGGTGTCACAAGATAAAGGGAGTAATAACAGGAGATAACAGTTTCAGCCCAAGGTACTGGAATTCCAAATTTTCTTTACAAAATAAACTTCTCCAGAGACAACTGGGAAAGACCTCTCTACTCAGGGAAGGGGGTGGGGGAAGAAGGAGGCTCCAGGTCCCCCTTCTCTGGCAACTCTCAGGAATGAAGCCCCCCCGCCCCCCAGCATCCTTCCCTCTCACATTCACCTTAAGCCCTGGAAACCACAAAAGAATCCAGCTTTCCTACCTGGAGTCCCCAGAGGGCAAGCCAAGGGCCCCACCTTCTCCCCAGCATTTTCCCCACAGCTTGGAGATTAGTAGGGCTGAAGTCAAATGTGGCTTTCATTGCCTATTGGGGAAGCTGCAGGCTTCAGAATTCTATTAAGATCTTTGCAAATTCACCAATTTACAAAATGCCCTAATTGATGCTCATTAGTGTAAATTAGCAAGGGGCTTCTGCAGACCCCACCCCTCACCCTTTAAGTCTAGAATTGCAAACCCTGGGGGCTGCAATTTGTGGAGGGTTTTTTGTTTTCCCTGCAGATTTTATCCAAGCTCCACATAATACCCCAAATTATTTGAATTTGTGGATCCTTTCATCAGGGATTAAATGTATGCCTGGGAATATTTAGTCCAGAGATTTTTTTTTTTTAAAGAGTTTGTCAGTTTTCAGAGTTCTGAGAAACCTGGGTGATTCTGAAGGTCTGCACCTTTGGGAAAGAGAGTTGGGGAAACGAGGAAATCTTGTGAGTGAGTGGCTTATTTTATTACTTTCTACGGGGTACATTCAGTTGAGGGATGCTGCGGGCTGGGAATAGCAGTGTAGTTAGACTCTTGAGTCAGAGGGAAAGCAGACCACCCAACCCTACCCCCACACCCTCGACGAAGGCAACTCCCCCCAAACCAGAAGGAAAAAGCCAGGTCAAGATGCCCAGTGACTCCTGGTGCTGGAGAGACAGAGAGAAGCCTTCACATTTATACCTAATCTAACTCCAGAAAGCCACCTCTGGGGCGAACTTCCAGCAAGTACACTGGGTCTCTGCAGGGGACGCCAGTATTTCACTGTAACCAGATCACCTGGGAAAGCAACCCCTGAGGGCTGGGGGACCAGGCAGCCTGGGTAACTGAGAGCCAAAGTCTCCTCTCTGAATGTGGCACCTCCAGGTTTCCTGGATTTCTCTTGGGTCCTTCTGCCCTGAGGGGGTTGGGGACAGGAAGTGAGGAGGAGACGGAACACAGTGGGTGGTGAGACTCAATTCCTAGCCCCAGAGCTAAATGTGTGCAGCCCCTGTGCAAGTGCCCCGGCACTTGCTGGGCTGGTGGGGGCTGCCACACCCCAGCATCCCTGAGAAGCTGTTCTGGCCCCACTAACCAAACGTGGCCATCAGGCCAGAAATCAGAGCCTATTCAGAGCTCAGAACACAGGCTTTCTCTCTGTTCCCCTGCCCCCTTGGGATTATCCATTTCCTTCAAAGGCAATTCTTATTCCTACTCCCAGGACCCAACCACACAGCCTGTCAAGCAGGGAATTCCAACAGGTTTTTAAAGTGACAGAGCCCCCAGGTATTCGTACCACGAGAACTGGGTCTTTGTGTCCTTTCCCCCAGCCTTTAGTCAGTATCACTCACTTTTCCAACTGTTTTGGATGTGACTCTGTGTATGTGCAAGGATCCTAACCAGCTCCAATGTTACCCAGCATTTGGGACGTGGGGAACTTGGCACCCAGAGCAGTTTCCAAAGAGCCTTCCAGGAGCAATGCAAAGAGGGGAGCCCCGCCAGCCCCTTCAAGCAGGCCTGGGAAGAGGGCCCATCCTGGATTTAACCCAGGAGCCCCAGGGCACCTAGGGGCCCAGTTCCTGGATTGAGGTCAGCCTATGGGGGGAGGGCAGGGGCATCAGCAGAGCTCTCCTCACATTAGAAGTGCAGCTGGGGACTAAGTACAGGGTCAAAAGTCACACAAGCACTAAGAGGTAAAAGTAAAAAAAAAAAATGCATTCTGGTGCTGCACATGAGGAGAACCAGCTCTGCCTTGGGTCCAGGACTCCGACCTCGCTACTTGGCTGCCACAAGAGCAACTCTGAGGCACAAGCAACCCACCCCTTCCCAGGGTCAGGAGGAGTCTGTGATGCACCCTACTGTCTCTGTGCCTCCCCCACAGTTGCACAGGTCCTGGGTCCCTGCATTCCAGTCTCACAGTCTCATCCGCAGCAGCACTGGGGAGCCAGGGAAGGGGACCATATCCCAGAGAGCTGCACTAGGACACCTCCGCCCTCACCAGACCATTCAATTATTAACCCCCAGAGAGCCCCATGGCCTGGGAGTGTGGAGACAGTCACCGGTACTTTTACGGCAACAAGAAAATTTCTAAATTGGCTTTAACCTGCGCCCTCTGCGGCTCTGATCAGCGACTTGCTGTGCTTTTAAAGAACGCTTCCCAGGCAGTCAGCTGCGACTAGGACTGGTCCATACTTTTCTGCCAGGAGCCTGCCCTACCACACCGCGGTCCAGCCACACCAAAGTCCAATCCGAGGCAAGCGAGGACACCGGCAAGCGAGGACACCGGCAAGCCAGGACACCCGGTCTGCCCGAACCTTGCCTAATGCCTGGGGCGCCCAGCACAGCTCTCCCTCCTCAGGCCGCGGCAAGAGCACGCAGAGAGTCCTTCGAACCTTTGCAGGAAACTTCACAGCCAAGGAAGCTCAGGCCTGACTGACATGGTTTTGTTTTGTGTTCAGAGGCAACAGTTTATTTGGTTTGCAGCTGCGGTGTCCTGTGACCCTGCAGCGAGTTTCTCTTCAGCATTAAGAAAAAAAAAGTTTCTCCCAGTGAAACGCGATACCACCATTCCCAGTGGCCCAAGGCCTTGGCGATTGAACTTTGCTGCAGCTCTCAAACCGAGGCAAAGCGCTCAGCTGGCTGGCGACAAAGGCGCCAGTCTGCAGGTGTGTTTGGGGGCTGGGGAGGAGGGGTTCCTGATGCGAACCGCCCCTGGGGCTCTCTGCTGTGAACCCAGTAAGAGGCAGGGAGACTGTCGCTGGACGCGTGCCTAGGTCTGCGTCGCTGCGAACCGCCGAGCTGTGCAGAAGCATAGCTTGGCGGGTGGCGCAAACCCAACAGCTGCGCAGTGCAGCCTGCCTGCGCCTGGCCCGGAGCCCCGCGCGGGTGCAGGGAGCGGACCGGCTTCGGGTGGAGCGGACTCAGTACAGCTGCATCAGACCTCACGGTCACGACAAGCACATCGTGATATGAGACTGGTTTTACAAACCGCTCTGTCCCACACGCACAGTCTGATCGCATCCCTAGCAGTGCGCGCAGTAGGACCTCAGAGTCCATTCACGCTGGAAACCGAGACTGTCGCGAGAAGGCGCGAGCTGGGAGATGGACCGGCAGGGGTCTGGAGCCCTGCGGCTCCCTCCACGGCTTCCCTCAGCCCCGCGCCCTCCCTCGGCGGCTCCGAACGCACCTTCGGTGCTCTCCTGCCCAGTTATCCCGCCTGACCTCCCTCTGCAGCCCGCTGGCGGTCGGGCGGCCGCTCTCGGCAGGCGCAAAGCCTCCGCGCTACGCGTG